GAGCAGGCCGGAGCGGGCCGCGGGCCGCGCGCCGAGGGTTGCGCTGTGCAGTCCCTCCGCGCCCCGCCTGGGCGCACGCGCGCTCCTCTGCCGGCCCCTCCCTCCACAGGGACCCCTGGCGGGTGGCGCGAGGACATGGCCAGCGACGCCGTGCAGGTAGGCGCACCTGCGTCGGCGGCGGTGGGGCGACCAGATTGTGCCGGGACCCCCGCCCGTGGCCGCCGGGGTCCCCCAAAGTGGGATGATGAGGCGGGGCCTCCGAGCGCCCCGCGCTCCCTCCCCGGGTCGGGACCCTGGAGCCAGCGTGGCCCCCTTCTCTGCAGGTGGAGGTACGGACGGGGAGGGGACCGAAGGACCGGGAGCCCCGCGGCACCGGGAGCTCGGCTCCACCCCGAGAATCTGAGGGGGCGCGGTGGAGGCGCGACTTTGGGTGTGTGTGGTTGGCTGTGCGTCCCGGTGCCTGGGCCCCCATCAGCCCTCCCCAGCGCTCGGTTTCTGGCAGGTGCCGCTCCACCTGAGGCAGGTGACTGGCGCGGTGCCGGGCGAGGGAGGATGCCGCCGGGCCCCTGCCCCTCCCCCGCACAACAAAGCTCCAGCGGCCCTGCCTCTGGACCGAGATTTAACGATGGTCCCAACGCCACCCAGATTGGCACCTGTTGGCGGAAGTGCCTGAGTCACCTCATTAGGTCCGAGGACGGAGGACCCCCACGCCTACCCTCCGGGCTGCTGGTCGGGACCTTATAGCCCAACTGGCTTGTGTTGGTCAGCAGACAGGGAATACTCCTATACCTAGGTTCCTACCTGCCCTCGGTTGGCATCAAGGCTGGGTCATCCCTTGTACACACACATACTCGTGACTGGCACAAAGCTGCCACTCAGCCAGGCTCTTTTCTGGCCTCCCAGTGCCATGTTGAGGACATCACTGCCTTGGACTCACCTTCCCCATGTGGGACAAGCGGGCCAGGTTGACGTCCCACCCTCTTTGACTCAGTGAGCCAGATCTGAGACATGTCCTGTGCCTCTGTCTGTGCCCCCTTTAGCTCTTTACCATCCAGTCGGCTGTCCTGTGGTCTTTGTGTAACTGGTTCTGTCTCCTTCTGCACCTGCCCCGTCCCCTTTGTGTCTCCCCTGTGACCCCCTATGATATCCCCCTCAGTCCTGCTGATGGCCTGCCAGCCTTGCCGAGGAGCTGGGCGTATCTGGTGTTGCCGATCACACAAGGTCAGACCTTGGGGTGGGCGTGGGCCGGGGCCCCTGCCCCCATCCCTGGCCCAGGGAGGGCTGTGTAGGAGCACCTCTCCCCTGCGCGTGCATGCGCTTGGCACATACCATACTAGATGCCATCAAAGGCTGTGATTCCTGCAACAAGCCTTGACCCATGCCCAGCCCCGCTTTCAGCCGGTCTCCCGGCCATCCCTTTCTCACGGCTGCCTGGGCTGCTGCCCTGTCCCTCTGTCTTTCCCGATGTGTGCCTGTCTATTCTGTGTCCGGCAAACGGATGTCCTGTCCAGATTCCGGAAACGCCCAAGGCATTGAAATATCCGGACATGGGGGTCTAGGTCCCTGGCTGCTCTAGGGAGAGGGGGTTGCTGGGAACTCAGGCCCTGGGCCTGTGTTAAGGGAAGCAGAGATTCTCTTAGGCCAGGCTCTTGATTCCTGGGGCTGCCCTGTTGGCCCACGGGTGACCTCTTGTCCCTGGGTAGGAGTGAGTCACCCCAGGGAGGAGGACCCAGGAGGCTGAACCTCCTTCCCCTATTCTCAGTCCGTAGCTGCTAGAGGTGGACCCACAGTGGCGCTCCTCCTCTCTGGTTGGACTTTTCCAGTTTGAGCTGGCCTCAATCCTGGCTGTACCCCTGCTCTGCCTGCTGGAGAGGGAGTGTGTGAATGCTATCACTTCTTCATTGCGTGTCCTGGGCCCAGTGCCTTCGCCTCTCTGAGCTTTGGTTCTGCCATCAGAAAAACGGGGCTATAAAGGGTGTTTGCAAGAGAGAGAGACAGACAAGGCCACTCTTGGCAGATCCTTAATGAAAAGCAGGCATGGCCCGGGACTGAGTCTGTGTCCTTTAACCCGGGGTTTCTCAGCCTCAGCACTCCTAACGTTTGGGGCTGGATCATTGTTTGTTGTGGGGGGCTGTCCTGGGCACTATGTGACATTTAATAGCATCCCTGACTTCAACCCACTGGATGCCAGTAGTCTCTCCCAGGTGTGACAACCAGAAATGTCTGTGGACATTGCCCAAGTGGTGGGGCTAAGTTACCTTTGGTTGAGAACTGCCAAGACCTCTCCAAGCCTGTTTCCTCGCCTGTGAAGTTGGAGAATAATAGCAGCTGCTCAGGGTTATTAGGAGGGGTTGGTAGGATCTGTGCTCTTGGCCTGTGGTGAACCCTCCCCTCCCTGGGGGCAGCTGCCCTTGAGGTTGGTCAGCAGCCAGTGGTGACTTTCCTCATCTGTGAAATGGGTTCTCAGAGCAGAGGGAGATACACAGGAGCAGCACTTAGCCGCTGCTGGGATCCTGAGTGTCCCTTTTGAAATCCTGGCCTGCCTCCTGCTGGGTGAGGGTCCTTGAGATAAGTTTTGGCACCCCTCCGGACCTATTTCTTCATCTAGAGAATGGGGTGAAAATAGTGCCTCCCTCGTGGGGTTGCATTTGTTGACCTGTGGGAAGCTTCTGGTGACTACTATTATTAATAGTTGTATTTGAGCTGTTAGTGTGTGCTTGGCAAGTGTTTGCAGGCTGCTGGGTCATCCTCATCCCAGCCCCTCAGTGTTGTCCCCCCAGTGTGTTGACCTCAGGGAGACTCACTGGGCCAGGCGGGCCCCTAAGACTAGGTGCTGTGGTCAGCAGCAGTAGGCGGCTGGGCTGGGAGGAAGCAGGAAGTTGGAAGGCCTATGCCTGCAGGAAGAGGCCCCGCCTCTGCAGAAGTTGCTGTACTGACCCCAAAGGGGAAGTCGGGGACAAGGGGTGGGCGGGAGGGCCTGGCTGCAGGGACACGTGGAGGTATCAGCAAGGCTGGAGGCCTGTAGGAGCATGGGCTGGCTGTGAGGCTGCAGGGAATGTGGGTCCATGTGTGAGTGTGTGGGCTGTGTCCACATGGGTAGGTGGAATTGTGCATGTCCAGGTTCTACAGTGGCTTGTGTACATGCGAATGTGTGCAAACAAGTGCACATGTGGGTGGGTATGGGAATATGTACATATTTGTGAACCTGTGCTCTGTGCACACACCCATAGGTGTGGGAGTGCATATACATGTGAGTCCATGTTCTGTGTGCACACATCCACAGATATAGGAGCACGCACACAGTGTGAGCCTATGTTCACATGAACACCTGTAGATGTGAGCACACCCAACTCAGCCCCTGGAGCCTACACACACTAGTGGAAGCCTGTTTGCTATGTACACAGTAGTGAGGATGAGAGTGTGCATGCCCATGTACTTTGGGCACCTTCACAGCACAGGGAGGGAGCACAGTTCCCTGGTTGCCTCTGGGAAGCAGGCTCAGCCCTGGAGTGGGAGCTGAGGGAAAGCTCCCCTACATGCCCCAGACCCCCAAAGCCCCAGAGCTGGCTGGCCGCAGGGGTTGCTGGGAGCTGGCAGGAAAGAGGAAGTGGTGATGAGAGAGGCCCTGGCAGGGCTGAGGCTCAGGAAGAGGGCGGGGCCCTCACCCTGGACCCAGGATGGCGGAGCCTGATCCCTCTTCGGACCAGGAGCTGGAGGTGGGGGCTGGGTCCCTGTGGTGGGCTGGTGGAAGAGGACCCCAAAAGGGACAGGCCATGGGGGCACGAAATGGTGCCTTGCCCTCCATACCTCTTAGTATTGGACTGAGGAGAGGAGATGGGGCCCTGACCTCTAGTCTCTCTGTTTGGAGGAAGAAAATATTTGGAGCCCTTTGGGGCTCCCAGGTTGGGGGTGTAGAGAAGGAAGGAGATAAGGCCTGTGCTTGGAAACATGTAGTTTGGGGGGGGAGGTGGGCCCACCTTTAAGATCTTGTGGGTCAGGGAACAGGGAAGGGAAGACAGGGCCTAATTTCAGGACCTCCTAGTTTGAGGGGATGGCAGAAGGGAAACAAGGCCTATCATTGCGATCTCTTAGATTGCGGGGGACAGCAGAGGACAGGCAGGCCTTCCCTTGAGACCTTCTAGTTTAGGACAGCAGAGGAAAAATGAGGCCTACCTGTTAGTTTGAAGGGGATGGGAGAGGGGAGGCCAGGCCTACCCTCAGCACCCTCTGGTTTGAAGGGGACAGCAGTGGGGCAATGGGATATGCCCTAGGGATCTCCTACTTTGAGGGGAACTGCAGAAGGGAGATGGATCTCTTATAGGGTCTTCCTAGTTTGGGGGACAGCAGAGGAGAAATGGGGCCTACCTTTGAGACCCTCCAGTTTTGGGGTATAGTGGTAGGGCAGTGGAGTCTGCCTTCCAGAATTCCACTGCATGAGGGATAGATGGAGACTGGACTGTTCATATGGGAGTCCCTAGTTGGAAGGGCTGGAGGAAAGGAGAAGGCCTGCCTTGGTTCTTTGTTGTGTGAAGGAGTTAGAAGCAGAGACAGGACCCTGCCCTCACCTCCCAGTTTAGGGGCTCTGAGGAGGTGGAGCAGGCCCTGTCTTTAGGAGTCCTAATCTGGGAGGATATGAGGAGGCCAGGCCCTGATTGACTGAGGTTGTCGACCCCCCAAAGTTGTCCCCCACTGACCCTGCTCTGTCCCACAGAGCGAGCCACGCAGCTGGTCCCTGCTGGAGCAGCTGGGCCTGGCAGGGGCGGACCTGGCAGCCCCGGGGGTGCAGCAGCAGCTGGAGCTGGAGCGAGAGCGGCTGCGGCGGGAGATCCGCAAGGAGCTGAAGCTGAAGGAGGGCGCCGAGAACCTGCGGCGGGCCACCACCGACCTGGGCCGCAGCCTGGGCCCCGTGGAGCTGCTGCTGCGTGGCTCGTCGCGCCGCCTCGACCTCCTGCACCAGCAGCTGCAGGAGCTACATGCCCACGTAGTGCTGCCCGACCCTGTGGCTGCTGCCCGTGGTGAGCTGGGGCTGCTGGGGGTGGGGGATGCGGGACTCTAGGGGTTTCCACTAGTCGTGGGCACCATCTCCATCATACAGCCAGGCCAGCAACAGATAGTCTACCATTTCCGCTGCCCCCAGAGAGCCGGCCTCAGTCACAGTGACTCTGTCTCCAAACAGTCATAGCAAAGAGTGAAACCCGCACAGCCACCCCACACCCAGATCTCACACTGACAGCCAGATGTACATGCTGTCATCCACACCTAGACACTCAGACATACATGCTGTCAGCACCCAGCACACAGTCACTCCAACAACCAGCAGCTCCCAGAGACTTAACCTTCTGTTACACCAACACCCTGACAGTCACACACATAGTCACACCAATACCTGGACAACACCAAAGACTGCTGTACTGTCATATGAATACACAGAGACTTTCCCATCTGATGACACCAACCTCCAGAGATTCACACACAGTCTCACTAACACCAACCAGTGCCCAAAGCCTTCCGACTGTCACCTGAATACCCAGAGATTTCTGCCACACCAATACCTGGACAATACCCAAAGACTCTCACACGCATCACTTCAACATCTAGAGACTCTCACCCACAGTCTCACCAACACCTGATGACACCCAAAGAGACACACACATCACGTCAGTATATGGAGACACAGTCTCACACACACACAGGCAACACCCCAAAATACAAAAACTGTCACACAAGTACCCAGAGATTCACACACAACCACCCAGTATGTATGGAGCTATATAGTCCACCAACAGCCAGGTAGGTTTCTGTACAACCACACTACCTGAAGACTTGTCCTCACTTATACCAACACCTGGACCTTCCATCCGCATGAATATGTCAACACCTGGAAAAGATACCATCACGGCAACACTCCAAGATAGAGACAAGGACACAGAGAGGATTGGGTACAGTCACAGGTTACCTGGAGACCCCCCCAGAGTCACACCAATCTTCAGAGACTCCCACACATAACCATTCAGCACCTAGAGACACAAGTGGACTTACACACAGTCACACCAGCACCCAGAGGTCTGAGTGCACACCTGTGCCCATAGTCAGGAATGTCTGCAGAGTCATCCCATCTCCTGGAGTCCCACACAACCATTCTAACCCCTCAGTCCATTCCATGCCCTGCAATTCACAGACATAATCACATGCAGTGTGTAAATAGTTGGGGATTCCTGTACATGGTTGCACCAACACCCATGGAGTCACACACAGCTGGAGACTTGCCTGAACTCTGTCATGCTGGGTCCTGCCCCCAGTCCTGAGGGGGGTTCCCTGTGAGGCTTAGGGTGCTTGGAACCTTCCAGGCACTGTCCTGCCTCCTGCCTGTCTGCTGGCCAACCACACCTTGTCTACCTGCATCCCAGGGGTGTGGGATAGCCAAGCTGGGCAGATGCTGTGAACAGAGTCCCCCTGAGTAGACCAATGTGAGGGCCATAGTGACTCTCTCTCACTTGCCCCCTCCAGATGACCCGCAGTCTCCGGGTGGAGGCAGCCCAGCCTGCTTGGCCACCAACCTGAGCCGTGTGGCTGGCCTGGAGAAGCAGCTGGCCATCGAGCTGAAGGTGAAGCAGGGAGCAGAGAACATGATCCAGATGTATAGCCACGGCAGCACCAAGGTGGGGGCTGCTGCATGCGTGCATACCTCCTTTATGCATGTACACACCCACATGCACCTACATGTGTGCACACACATGAATACCCACCCACATGTGTGTAGAGCAAGGGCTTAGGGGGTGGAGGATGGAGCCACTTAGAGCTGCCCTTATGGGTCAGGGACAGAGGGGCTAAACAGATGACTTGGAAATAGGACTTGGGGGGGGCAGCTCATGGGGGTATATGGGAAATGGTGAATGTGGGTGCTGTCAGATGGATACACAGCAGAGACTGTCCCCTATGTTCAGACAGTCACCCTCAGAGACTCAAGGGGAGCCACAGTCAGGGCAACACACAGACTCTCACTGCTGTGGGGTGTGTCTCTCACATACATGCACACAGCCATATCAAGGCTAGGACACACACAGACACACAGTTATGACAACACCTGACACACACATTGTCCTAACATCAGAGAGATAGTAATAACAACACTTAGAAACACTGTGGATAACCGCACACAGTCACATGGATCTCTAGAGGCATACAGGCACATGCACTATCATATACTGTCCAGAGACCAACCAGCACGACATATCTGAACATGCACACAATCAAATCCATACCCCGAGCCTGGCATTGTCCTGCAGACACATGTATCCTCAGTTATAACATCACACACACACACACAGACACACAAGCACACACACAGATCTACATCAACACACAGACTCACACAGCCAGACCTACAGCCAGAGAACGATGTGTTCACCTTGTCAGGAGACCACACGTGGTCATCTGCCTGTGTGCACACAACTGCAAATGTTATGTGGCAGGATACAACCCACAGACTATTTTTTTACCTTTTATTGGGGTGTAATGTATGCAGTAAAGTGCACAAAATTTAAGTGTATAGCCTGATGGATTTTTGCCTATGCACACATCACCCACATCAAAATACAGAATATCACCCATCACCCAAAAGCTTCCCTCATTCTCAAATACGTCTTGCATCACTGAGCTGGAATACTCTTCATTGCTGATTCCTGGCAATTCTTCCTTTAAGAACATAAGGTCTATTGCAACATATGCAAAAAAAAAAAAAAAAAAAAAAGATTCCCTCACACCCTCTCCAGGCAGTACCCAGACACACAGACTTCAATTGCCACAGTTAGTTTTGCCTGGTTTTGAGCTTCCTATAGATAGAACCAAGGTGCTCTGGTGGTGCAGTGCCCAAGGCATTTGACTGCTAACCAGAAGGTTGGTGGTTCAAACCCACCAGCCACCCTGCAAAAGAAAGATGGGGCAATCTGCTTTCATAAAGATTTACCACCTTGGAAACCCATGAGGGTCACTATGAGTCAGAAATGGGTATTTTCTTTTTTTTAAATAGATAGAACTAGGGGCCTCTGTGTGGCACAAATTATACTCAACTAGTAACCTAAACAACAGTAACCTAAAGGGGAGCTCTGGTAGTGTAGTGCCTCAGGCACTTGACTGCTATCCAGAGGGCTGGCGGTTCAAACCCACCAGCCACTCCTTGGAAGGAAGTTTGGGCAATCTACTTCCATAGTGATACTGCCTCGGAAACCCAAGGAGGGGTCGCCATGAGTCAGGTCTGACTCGACGGCACATAACAACAACAACAGTAACCTAAAGATTGGTGGTTCAGACCACCCACTGACACCACAGAAGGAAGGCCTGGTGATCTACTTCTGCAAAGAATTGAAAAAAGCACGGCCCACTGCCATTGAGTTGATTCCTAACCATAGTAACCCTAGAGGGCAAAGTAAAGCTGCCCCTGTAGTGTGTCTAAGGCGATAGGTCGGTATGGAGGCAGACTGCCTTATCTTTCTCCCACAGAGTGGCTGGTGGGTTTGAACCACTGACCTTTCGGTTAACGGCCTAATGCTTTCACCACCACTCCACCAGAGCTCCTTCCATTAAATTAAAGTCAGGAAAACCCTACAGAAGACAGTTCTGCTCTGCAACATGGAGTTGCCATGAGTCAGAATTAACTTGACAGCGTGGGTTTTGTTATTTATTTATTTACTTTTTTAAAAATGTAGTTAGAAACACCCACTCTGTCTTCTTTTCCACCCCAAGTTGTTGCTGTGGGTTTGTTAAAACAGCACCCACCTGGGGGTAAGGATTCCTCGGGAGGTCCCAGCTCTCAGCTTACGAAAACTGGCGAGCTGGCTCCGGTGTCCAGGCCCGGGGTTTCCCACTGGCACACTCTTGGAGTCAGAGGGCCCAGCTCAGTGACAAGGCCTGGACCTCCAACCTGACTGGATCTCAGATCTCACCAGCTCAGACACTGTGTGCACATTCCAGGCATATAATCAACTAATAAAAAGTGTGCTGAAGGAACAAAAACCTGTCCTTGAACCTGGTTAGATGTTTCTTGACCTTTCTTTCATGATCCTTCCACCAAGGAGCCTTTATAGACATTTTTTTCCTAATTGCCCTACCCCATGAAATTTTAAAAAATTATAGTAAAATGCACATAACATAAAATTTACCATTGTAATCATTTAGAAGCGAAGAATTCAGTGCCATTAGGTACATTCACAGTGTTGTGTAACCATCAGCACTATTTCTGAAAGCTTTTCATCCCCTCAAACAGAAACTCAGAGCCCCTTTAGAAAAAACTTCCCAGCCCTGACCCTGAGCCCCCGACAACCTCTACTCTACTTCCTGTCTCTGGATTTGCCTCTTGTGAACGTTTCATATAAAGGGGCTCATCCGACATGCGGCCTTTTGTGTCTGGCTTTTCTCGCTGAGTGTAACGTTTTTGAGGTTCATCCGTGTTGTACCCCATGCCAGTGCTTCATTCCTTTTCACGGTCAGATGGTATCCCATTGTATGCTGACGCGCACTGTATTTGTCCATTCACCTGTTGATGGCTACGTGGGTTGTTCCCACCTTTTGGCTGTCATGAACGGTGTTGCTGTGAGCATTAGTGTATAAGTTTTTATCTGAACATCGTCCATGATTTATTTATTTATTTTTAAATTGTGGTGAAAATAATATACAACAAAACCTTCATCAATTCAATAATTTCTACAGTTATAACTATACCCCATGAATTTTTAATCCTACAGATCAACCATATATCTGTCTAGGTGCTATAAGTATATCTATGCTTTATACATAAAAAGAGTAAGAGTTTCTGTCCCCTCACTTCCAGTTTCCATCTGTTTGAGGATGACTTAAGGAACCCTGGTGGCACAGTGGTTAAGTGCTTGACTGCTAACTTGAAGGTTGGTGGTTTGAATCCACCAGCTGCTCCACATGAGAAAAGACCTGGCAGTCTGCTCCTGTAAAGATTATAGCCTAGGAAACACTATGGTGGCAGTTCTACTCTGTCCTAGAAGGTCAATAGGAATTGGAATTGACTTGATGGCAGTGGATTTTTTTTTTTTTTTTTTTTTTTGGTGTGGGCTACCATGACCACATTGAGCATGCTTGGATGAGGCACAGTGTCTTATCTGAACAGAAATACAGTACAAAGTAGATGAAAAATCCACGACCAGTTCCCTGAAACTTTTACGTACATCGGGTCATGGGCTGTGATTGGTTGTGACCCTTCCTTCCTTATTTATTAATTTAAATTGTGGTTTGGATGAAAATCCAAACAGCAAATTCATTTTCCATTCAACAGTTCATACACATTTTGTTTCATCACATTAATTGCAATCCCTACAGTGTAAGAACTCTCTTCCCACTTCCTCCTTGTGGTTACCTTTTCCCTGTGTCCTTTTCTATGTATTCCTGCCCTCTAAGCTTTCTCCCTGTGCAAATGCTGCCCTTCTGATCTCTTGGTCGTGGTCATACTTGAACCCCTCATACAGCCCCTCGCTGACTGTACATTGTCTCATACACCCCTAGTCACTCTCCAAGACTCACCCATGTGTTGCAGTCAGGGCTACCCTGGCCATGGGGACCACTCTGCCAGGTATGTGTTGTCCTGATAGCTGACACAGACACAGTGCCTGTTGCGTACCAGACCTGGCTCAACCCTGCCTTCAGATTAGCTCCCTCAGTCCTCTGTCCAGTGGGGGTTGGCACATTGTGCGCATGAGGAAACTGAGGCCCAGACAGCTTGAGTGGCTGGCTTGAGGTGACCCATCTGGAAAGTGGCTGAGCTGGAATTGGAACCTGTGTGCTGCATCACTCCACCTAGGACGTGGGTGTGTACACTGTCATACCCACCACACGCACTCCAACACACGGTTGCCTGGGGATTACGCAGCATGGATGAAGGGCTTGTGGTCCAACTCCAGCTGCCTATCCTCCCTCTCAGCACCCATCTCTGCCCCTAGGACCGGAAGCTGCTGCTGACAGCCCAGCAGATGCTGCAGGATAGTAAGACCAAGATCGACATCATCCGGATGCAGCTGCGCCGGGCTCTGCAGGCTGGTCAGCTGGAGAGCCAGGTGGCCCCGGATGAGGCCCAAGGTGAGCACCCGCCCTGAGACAACTGGCCTGTTTCCTGCCCTATGGGGCTCAGTTCCCAGCCCACGAAAGACCCTTTTCTGGGGCAGGGAGGTGGGCACTGTGACTCGCTGTGCAACTGGGACCTATTCCTGACCCCCTCTGGGCCTGTTTCTCATTTGTCCCAGGCAAGGTTTGGACTAGATCAAGTATTGGTGAATTATGACCTATGGGCCAAATCCTGCCATCTGTTTTTGTAAATAAAGTTTTATTGGCACACAGCCATGCCCATTTATTTACTGCTGTTCCTGGCTGCTTTTATGCTACAATGTCGAGTTGAGTGCTTGCAACAGAAACTGTGAGATCCAAGAGCAGAAAATATCTACTCTCTGGCTCTTTCCAGGAACTATTTGCCAACCCCTGGACTAAATGGTTGTCTTGTCCTGTTCACTCCTATGTGTGTAGAACTGTGGGTGTCCACAGCACACGTGTGTATATGTATGTGCACACATGCATACGTGCCTATGTATGAATGCCCAGGGAAGTCTCACAGGAATATGTGGAAGTTGTCACCTGCACTTGTGAGAAGGGCTTGGTGTATTGTGTGTATGGATGACTGTGTCTGTGTATGTCAGTGTTATGACCTTGTGGGGACCAGGGGTTGTGTGTATGTCCTTGTAACAATACATGGAGGAAGCTGTAGGTGAATGAAATTTTATTTGTTTGTCCTGGTGAGAGGTAGTAGGACCAGTGAGAGGTGGTAGGACCATCTGTCAGTTGGTGGAGAGGCTTATAACTGGATGACAGTGTGTGTGTGTGTGTGTGTGTGTGTGTGTGCGTGCACACGTCTCGGGAGTGTCAGTGTGACTGTCCGTGTGATTGTCCCAGTTTATTGTACTGTGATGGCTGATGTGTTGCGATGATGCTGGAAGCCATGCCACCAGTATTTCAGGTGCCAGGAGGGTGGCCTGTGGTAGATAGGATTTCAGCAGGGCTTCCAGACACTGACAGGTTGGGAAGAAGAACCTGGTGCTGTACTTCTGAAAACACTAACAGTGACAACATTATGAATAGCAGCAGAACGTTGTCTGGTACAGCGCTGGAAGATGAGCCCCTCAGGTTGGAAGGCACTCAATGCATGACTGGGGAAGTGCTGTCTCCTCAAAGTAGCAAAAACGAAAACCAAACTCACTGCCATCGAGTTGGATCCGACTCATAGAGACCCCTCCTTGGGTTTCTGAGGCAGTATCTTTACAGAAGTAGATTGCCCAGTCTTCCTTCCAAGGAGTGGCTGGTGGGTTTGAACGTCTAGCCTTCTGGTTAGCAGTCAAATGTCTTAGGCACTACGCCCCCAGAGCTCCTCAAAGTGGAGTTGACCTTAATGATGTAGATGGAGTAAAGCTTTCAGGACCTTCATTTGCTCATGTGGCTTGACTCAAAATGAGAAGAAACAGCTGCAAACATCCATTAGAAATTGGAAAAGGGAATTATGAAATATGAACCTAGGAAAATTGTAAGTTGTCAAGAATGAATGCTTGAAGATCCACATCCAAGGCATTGTTTGGTGCTGTTGTGCCGGTTCCAACTCGTAGGGACCCAGTCCACAATGGGGGAAACATCGCCTGGGCCTGCACCGTCCTCACAGTCACTGCTGGGCTTGGGCCCATTGCTGCAGTCACTGTGTCAGTCCATCTTGTTGAGGGTCCGCCTCTTTTTTGCGGATTCTGTACTTTACCAAGCATGATGTCCTTCTCCAGGGCTTGGTCCCTCCTGATAACATGACCAAAGTATGTGAGACAAAGCCACTTTACCATCCTTGCTCTCTGGCTGTATGTCTCCAAGATAGATTTGTTCATTCTTCTGGCAGAGAATATTGAACATTCTTGCCAACACCCTAATATAAAGACATCAGTTCTTCTTCACTCTTCCTTAGTCATTCTCCAGCTTTCACAAACATGAGACGATAGGCATTAGTGAGCTGGAATGGGCTGGTATTGGACATTTTGAATCACAGTTATATGGTCTACTATACAACAACAAATTGAAGAGGAACAGCATTGCTTTCATTGTCAAAAAGAACACTGCAAGACCCATTCGGAAGTACAATGCTGTCAGTGATAGAATAATATCCGTATTCCTATAAGGAAGACTGGTTAATATGACTGTTATTCAAATTTATGCACTGTCTTAGTTATCTAGTGCTGTTATAGTAGAAATACGGAGTAGATGGCTTTAACAAACTCATTTTCTCAAGTGTGGAGGCTAGATGTCTGAATTCAGAGTGCTGGAAGAAGAGGAAGAAGATCCTTATCTCTTCTGAGCTTCTGCTTCCTGGTTCCTTGGAGATCTCCATGTGTCTTGGCATCTAATCTATCTTACCCCATCTCTGCCCTTAGCTCACATTTAATCTCTTAGATTTCAAGAAATCGACTCAAGACACACCCTATAGTAATTTTGCCTCATTCATGTAACAAAAACAACTCATTCCCAAATGGGATTATAACCACAGGCATAGACATTAGGAATTGCATATTTTGGGGGGACATAGTTCAGTCCATAACATGCATGAACCACTAATGCCAAAGATGAAGAAATTGAAGATTTTTTTTTAACAACTTCTGCAATCTGAAATTGATCAAAATGCAACCAAGATGTGCTGATAATTTCTGATGATTGGAATGGGAAAGTTGGAAATAAGCAAGATGGATCACTAGATGGGGAATGTGGTCTTGGTGATAGAAAGGACTCCAGAGATGGAGTGATAGAATTGTCAAGACTAATGCCCTATTTGTTGGAAATGCCCTTTTTCACAACATAAATCACACCTGTATGTGTGGACCTCACTAGATGGAATGAATGTGCAAGAATTGAATCAACTACGTAAGTGGAAAGAGAAGATAGAGAAGCTCAGTATCATCTGTCAGAACCAGGCCAGGGACCGACTGGGGAGCAGACTGTCAGTTGATCATCTGTAAGTTCAAGTTGAAGCTGAAGAAAATGAAAACAAGTCCATGAGAGCCAAAGTATGACCTTGAGTATATCCCATCTGAATTTAGAGACTATTTCAAGAATAGATTTGATGCATTACACACTAATGACCAAAAACCAGAAGAATTGTGGGATGACATCAAGGGCATCATATGTGAAGAAAGTCAAAGATCATTAAAAAGGCAAGAAAGGAAGAAAAGACAAAAGTGGATGTGAGAATAGATCCAGAAACTTGCTCTTGAACATACAGTCACTAAAGCAAACTGAAGAAATGATGAAGGAAGAGCTGAACAGAAAAGGATGGCTCAAGTAGACAAAGTATTATAGTGAAATGTGCAAAAACCTGGAGTTAGAAAACCAAAAGGGTAGAACACATTCTGCATTTCTCAAGCTGAAAGAACTGAAGGAAAAAATTCAGGCCTCAAGTTACAATATTGGAAGATTCTATGGGCAACATATTGAATGAAGCAGGAAGTATCAAAAGAAGATGAAAGTAATACACAGACATACTGTACCAAAAAGAATTGGCCAATGTTCAACCATTTCAGAAGGGATCATATGATCAAGAACCAGTAGCATTGAAGGAAAAAGTCTAAGTTGCACTGAAGGAAGTGGTGAAAAACAAGGCTTCAGGAATTGATGGAGTACCACTTGAGAGGTATCATCAAACAGATGTAACGCTGGAATCTATGCCAAGAAATCTAGAAGACAGCTACCTGGCCAACTGACTGGAAGGGATCCATCTTTGTGTCCACTCCAGAGAAAGGTGATTCAACAGAATTTGGAAATAAGCAATATTGCCAATATCACACGCAACTAAAATTTTGCTGAAAATAATTAAAACGAAGATGTAGCAGTATAGGGAACTGCCAGAAATTTGAGCTGGATTCAGAATGAGGAATATTATTGCTGATGTCAGATGATCTTGGCTGAAAGCAGAGAATACCAGAAAAATGTTTACCTGTGTTTTATTGACTATGCAAAGGCATTTTACTGTGTGAATCATAATAAATTGTGAATAACATTGTGAAGAATGGAAATTCCAGAACACTTAATTGTGCTCATGTGGCACCTGTACATAAACCAAGAGGCAGTTGTTCAGAGAGAACAGGGGGATACTGCATGGTTTAAAATCAAGAAGGGAGTGCATTAGGGTTGTATCCTTTCACCATACTTATTCAATCTGTATGCTGAGCAAATAATCCGAGAAGCTGGACTGTATGAAGAAGAATTTGGCATCAGGATTGGAGAAAGTCTTGTTAACGACCTGCAATATGCAAATGACACAATCTTGCTTGTTGCAAGTGAGAATGACTTGAAGCACTTACTAATGAAGATCAAAGACTGTAGCCTTCAGCGTGAATTAATACTTCAACATGAGGAAAACAAAAATCCTCACAACTGGACCAGTAAGCAGTATCTTGGTAAATGGAGAAGAGATTCAAGTTGTCAAGGATTTCATTCACAACCAGTGCCCATGGAAGCAGCAGTAAGAAATCAAAGGATGTATTGCATTGAGTATATTTGTTGCAAAAGATGTTTTTAACATATTAAAAAGGAAAGATGTCACCCTGTGGATTAAGGTATACCTGACTCAAACCATGGTGTTTTCAGTTGCCTTTCACACATGTGAAATCTGGACAGTGACTAAGGAAGACCGCAGTAGAATTGATGCATTTGAATTGTGGTGTTGGCAAAGCATATTGAATATACTATGGACTGCCAGAAGAACGAACAAATCTGTCTTAGAAGAAGTATAGCCAGAATGCTCCTTAGAAGCGAGGAGGGTGAGACTTAGTACTTTGTCTCTTGTACTTTGGTCATGTTGTCAGGAGGGACCAGTCCCTGGAGAAAGACATCACCCTTGGTGAAGCAGAGGGTGAGTGAAAAACAGCAAGACCTCAACGAGATGGATTGACACGGTAGCTGCAGCAATGGGCTCAAATATAGCAATGATTGTAAGGATGGGGCAGGACGGGGCAGTGTTTGTTCCGTTGTACGCAGGGTCTCTGTGAGTCAAAACTGACTTGATGACCTAACACCAACAACAACATGAACCTCCACATGGCTTCTTGGGAACTGTGTGATGGCACATGTGCTGCTGGGGAACATCGTAACCATGGGGACAGTGCAGCCCTATGTCCATCATTGTAAAAGTTGTATTATTGCCTGAGTGCTTTGTGGCCGCAAGCCTGGGATGAGAGTGTGACTCTGTTTCTAAGATATTGTACTTGGGCATATGAGGGTTTGTGTGACTGTCTGCATTGTGAGTGTCCAGGTAAGTGCCACATACCTGTGGGTGACAGTACGACTGTGACTCTGTAACTGAGTACCACTATATGTGCTGGGACCATTATGCTGGACAGGAAGATTGTCCCAGACACAGCAATGTGTGTGACCATGACCTTGTGCTTGGTGGTGATTTTCTCGTATCTGTGTGGCATGGTGTCTTTGTGCCATTCATTGGGTGACATGGCTGTGTCCTGTGTTGGTCCATGACTGTGTCCCTGTGACTTCACGCTGTGTGTGACAGCCAGTCTGTTTTCCTGTGACATAGGGTCTCTGTGCCTGTCTGAGTGATGCTGCACTGCTCGTGTGACAGTGTAACAGTATTTCTTTTCCTGTCCAGGAGCCTCATCCATGTGGCAGGGTGATAATGTTCCTAGGACTCTCCCTGGGCAGAGGTCAGAGCCCTGAGGATTTGTGTCACAGTGTAACTGTGTCCCTCTTACTGGCTCTGTGCCTAGGCACAGAGGGTTGGTGTCACTGTGTATCCCTCTGCCCTATGATGGTGTGTATTCCTGTGCACAGGGGTGACGGGGATATGTCTGTGATGCTCGAGACTGACCCCTGTGACAGTGTCCTTGTGCATGATGGTGACGGGCCTGGGTCTGTGTGACAGCATCTATGATAGTGTTCCTGTTTCCTGCTGGTAGGAGGGATGAGAAGGAGGGGGCAGTGAGTGGTGATTTGCGTGTGTCCTGTGCCAATGTTCCTGCCAGTGTTTGCATGTCTGGACCCTAGTTAGTTGAACCTAGGTCCTAGGCTGGGCTCATCGTCTGGTTTCTGCAGGGGGTCTGGACCTGGGGGCGGTGGAGCTACGCATCGAGGAGCTACGGCACCACTTCCGAGTCGAGCACGCCGTGGCAGAGGGCGCCAAGAATGTGCTTCGCCTTCTCAGTGCTGCCAAGGCCCCTGACCGCAAGGCTGTTAGCGAGGTGAGTGGTGGGGCTTAAACACGGGCAGAGCTGTGGCGGGGGTGGGGCCTCAGCAAAGTGAGTGGGGCCTGGGCACCTCAACTGGGCCAACCTCAACTGGGCGGAGCCTAATCGAAGGGTGGGATGCTGCAAGGGGAGGGTCCCTGACTGGGGTGGGGCCAGTGCTAGAAAGCCTCTTCCAGGGCCAGGGCCTGCTTTTGGAGGAGCCCTGGGTTGGGACCAAGATGGTTAGGGTTGTAGGCCTCTAGGGAGAAGGAGCCCAGGGTGAGACTTAGCCAGTCTGGGCCAGGCCTGTGTCTGCACCTGGGGCCGAGCATCTAGTGCCCCCAGGCCGACTGCCCCCCAGCCTGGCCTCCTCACCACAGGCCCAGGAGAAGCTAACTGAATCAAACCAGAAGCTGGGGCTGCTGCGGGAGGCACTGGAGCGGCGCCTCGGGGAGCTGCCCGCCGACCACCCCAAGGGAAGGCTGCTGCGCGAGGAACTTGCCGCCGCCTCCTCTGCTGCCTTCAGCGTCCGCCTGGCCGGCCCCTTCCCTGCCACCCACTACAGCACCCTGTGCAAGCCCGCACCACTCACAGGTGGGCCCCACCCTCTGCAGCTCTGCAGTCACCACCCATGCAGTTTCCCTAGCCCCAGACCCTCAGCCCTGGTAGTCTGGGACCCACAGCTCCAGACCCTATGCTCCCATCTGGGAGCCCCACCACCCACACCCTAGGTCACCACCTTTTCCAGCACTGAACTCCCCATCATCCTACTGTCCTCTCCCTTCACTGTTTACCCCAGTGTCTAGCCCTAGACCCCATTTCTCTAGGCCACACACCCTGAATCCCTGCCCTGTCTTGCCATCTGATTCTGGACTTCTGTCTTCCTCCTTGTCCTATCCTAGCCCTCCCCACACAATGTGCCCCCCAACACCTATCTTGTTACTTCAGTACCAGACCCCTAGTCTAAGCCCACACTCAGAACCCCAGCCTTAGCCATCTGACCCAAACTTCTGAGCCCCCAGACCAGCCAGCCTCACCCCCGTAAATCCCCCTAGCCTGCACCCCTCCACCCAGCCCCTCCATAGACCCCCAGCTCTAGATCAGCATGCTCAGTCCTACCCTGGACTCCCCAGGTCTACATTGCTCTGCCTGATCAGCAGCCCCAGCCTCCTCCCTAGCACCCTCTGTCCCTGAACTCCAGCATCTCTATCCTGGCCCACCACAGCCTCAGCCCACAGGTCTTTTGTTCCATATTTCCAGCATCCCGCCACAGCCATCCTGGTCTCAGATGTCCCTGTCCCACCCACTTGCACACTGGCCACTTCAGGTCATGGTCACTTAGCCTGCAGGTCCCTTGCCTGACTCAGATATGGCCCCCACTGAGCCTGCCCCTCCTACAGGGACACTGGAGGTGCGTGTGGTGGGCTGCAGAGACCTCCCAGAGACCATTCCCTGGAACCCTTCACCCGCGGCGGGGGGAGCTGGGGCCTCCGACAGCCGTACCCCCTTCCTGAGCCGCCCAGCCCGGGGCCTTTACAGCCGAAGCGGAAGCCTTAGTGGCAGGAGCAGCCTCAAAGTTGAAGCTGAAAACACCAGTGAGTAGAGCATCATGGGATCTTGAAGGTTGAGGTAGAGTGTGGGTGGTGTCCTGGGATACCCCACATTTGCAACACTATAAAAACTAATGCATTCAAACTATGGCCCACAGGTCAATTCTTGTCCATTTCCTATTTTTGTAAATAAAATTTCATTGGAACACACACACACACACAAAGAATTTAATTTTACTTGGATCCACAATCAATGCTCATGGAAGCTGTTGTTGTTGTTATTTGTTGTTATGTGCCGTTGAGTCGGCCCCGACTCATAGCAACCCCTCCTTGGGTTTCCGAGGCAGTATCACTATGGAAGTAGGATTGCCCAACCTTCCTTCCGAGGAGTGGCTGGTGGGTTTGAACCGCCAGCCGTCTGGTTAGCAGGCAAGTGTCTTAGCCACTATGCTACCAGAACTCCCTCATGGAAGCAGGAGTCAAGAAATAGGATAATGTATTGCACTGGGCAAATGTGCTGCAAAAGGCTTCTTTAAATTGTTAAAAACAAAGATGTCGTTTTGAGTAGCAAGGTGCACCTGACCCAAGCCATGGTATTTTCAGTCACTTCATATGCATGTGAAAGCTATACAATGAATAAGAAAGACCTAAGAATTGTTCCCTTTGAATTATGGTATTGTTTAAGAGTATTAAATACACCATAGGGGGTAAAAAAAAAAAACTAATGCATTCATACAAAAATGTGTATATAAAGAAAGAAGGAATAACAAGAAATAGAATACTGCAAGCTCCCTGGAAGCTTGCACACTCATTCCTAAATTCTGTCTTAGAAGTAGCCACTCTCCTGACTTAAGATTTTCATACCCTTGCTAGTCTTTATAGTTTTAGCTCCTGTATATGCTTCTCAAAACACTGCAGCTTCATTTTGCCTAGTGTTTGAACTTTATATGAATGGAGTTACACAGAATGTTTTCTATAGTGCTGACTTCATTCAGCATTATTTGGGAAACTCAAACATATTGTTGCATGACACTATGGTTCATTCATTGTTATTGCTGTTTCATTGTCTACTGTATTAGATTGAGCATATCAAATTGCTGGGTATTTTTAGATTAAAAAATAGCTGAATATCAGCAGTAAGATTGTAACACAATATATATTCTTTCTCTTGGTAATGGACAGTGGGATATTTCTAGTTTGGGGCTATTATATAAACATGTACATGTGTATTTCCTGCTGTATACTTGCATACATTTTTCTAGTGTAAATACTTAGGAATGTATTGCTAGGACTTCCATATAGAATAAAAATTAATTTGGATCCCTACCTCACACTACAGGAGCTCTGGTAGCATAGTGCTAAAGCACTTGACTGCTAACCAGAAGGCTGGCGGTTCAAACCCACCAGCCACTCCTCGGAAGGAAGGTTGGGC